GTTTCTTGATTTCTCATAAAGTTATTAGCTTCCATTTGCTCCATTCTAATATTTTTCCCTTTTTAAAAATTTTTTATTAATTTATTTTGATTTATCAACAATCACTTCCATATGCTTTTGAGTTGAAAATTTTTCTCCCCCTTCCTCCCCCTCCTCCCCAACACGGCACACAATTTGATATAGGCTTTACATTTACATACCCATTAAACATATTTTCACATTAGTGAAGTTGTAAGTAAAAGTTAAAACCAATAGAAGGAACCATCAGAAAGAGGAAACAAAACTCAACAGAAGGTAAAAATAAGTGAGAGTGATTCGACTTCCATAGTTCTTTCTTTGGATGTGGACAGCATTTTCCATCCCGAGGCCTCTGGAGGTGTCTTAGATCCTCCTAATGCTGAGAAGGGTTCAGTTTAACAATCTTAGTCATTGCATACCGTGGCTGTTATTGTGTACAAGTCCTCTTGGACTTGTACACTTCACTCAGCATCAGACCATATAAGACTTTCCAGGTTTTTCTGAAGTCAGCCTGTTCATCATTTCTTATAGCACAATAGTATTCCATTACATTCATATACCACAACTTGCTCAGCCATTCCCCAATGAATGGGCATCCTCTCCATTTCCAATTCTTTGCCACCACAAAAAGAGCTGCTATGAATATTTTTGTACATGTGGGTCCTTTTCCCATTTGTTTGATCTCTTTGGGATATAGCCCTAGAAGTGCTATTGCTGGATCAAAGGGTATGCACATTTTTGTAGCCCTTTGGGCATAGTTCCAAATTGTTCTCCAAAATGGTTGGATCATTTCACAACTCCACCAACAATGTATTAGTGTTCCAATTTTCCCACATTTTCTCCAACATGTATCATTTTCCTGTTTTGTCATGTTGGCCAATCTGATAGGTGTGATGTGGTACCTTAGAGTTATTTTGATTTGCATTTCTCTAATCAATAACGATTTAGAGCATTTTTTCATATGACTGTAGATGGCTTTGATGTCTTCATCTGAGAACTGTCTGTTCATATCCTTTGACCATTTATCAGTTGGGGAATGGCTTGTGTTCTTATAAATTTGTCTTAATTCTCTATGTATTTTAGAAATGAGGCCTTTATCAGAGAGACTGGTTGTAAAAATTCTTTCCCAGTTTTCTACCTTCCTTCTAATCTTAGCTGCATTGGCTTTGTTTGTGCAAAAACTTTTCAGTTGAATGTAATCAAAATGATCCACTTTGCATTTCATAATGTTCTCTATCTCCTGTTTGGTCATGAATTCTTCTGTTCTCCATAGATCTGATAGGTAAACCATTCCTTGTTCTCCCAGTTTACTTATGGTATCAGCCTTTATATCTAAGTCATGAACCCATTTTGACTTTATTTTGGTATATGGTGTGAGGTTTGGGTCTATGCCTAGTTTCTGCAATACTCTTTTCCATCCATTCTAATTTTTAAGGAATTATTTTCTTCAGTGAACTTTTGGACTTCCTTTTCCATTTGGCCATTCTGCTTTTTAAGGCATTCTTCTCCTCGTTGGCTTTTTGGACCTCTTTTACCATTTGGCCTGGTCTGTTTTTTAATGTGTTATTTTCTTTAGTGTTTTTTGTGTTGCCTTTATCAAGCTGTTGACTCTTTTCTCATGATTTTCTTGCATCACTCTCATTTCTCTTCCCAACTTTTCCTCTGCCTCTCTTACTTGATTTTCAAAATTTTTGAGCTCTTCTATGGCCCAGGACCAATTCCTATTTTTCTTGGAGTCTTTGGTAGTAGGAACTTTGACTTTGTTATCTTCTGAGTGTGTGTTTTTGATCTTCCTTGTCACTGTAGTAACTTTCAATAGTCAGAGTTTTTTTCTTTTGTTTGGTCATTTTCCTAGCCTATTACTTGACTTTTCACCCTTCATTAAGGTAGGCTTCTGCTTCCAGGGTGGAGGGTGCAGTGTCTCAAGCTTCAGGTGTTTTGTTGGAGCTATTCTCAGAGATACTTCTAGGGATCTTTAAAATTTTCAGTTTTCCCAAGGTGGCATGATCTAAGGCAGAGGTTCCCAGACTTATTTGTCCTACTGTTCCCTTTAAAAAAATTTTTTCTCAGCATCTCTCTGGAAATCTACTTTCTTTAACCCTGTAACTGTTTTTCTTTTAATTTGCATCATTTCAAAAAAATATAAAATTTTTAAAAAGACATCTTAAATTTAATAAATTTATTGTAAATTTGTGTTTTTTTCCCTTCATTGAAATTTTGATGACACATGTAACTGTATAGTATTGTAAACAAGTCATTAATAGTACATCGATGTATGCTGGACTGCCCTACAATGCGTGACATGCTTGCTTGCCAACACTTACTTGTTAAGAACTGTTGATAGACTTTACCACTGATCGGTTATAACTTGTATTTTATGTGTTTATTTGGAAAATAATGTAATCACTATGACTTTACCTCTGTTACACAACAGATGAAACGTGTATGAATGGTTTTTCAAAATTTTCTTTCCTTATCTCCTTTCCTTATGCTTCCACTGCCCCCTTATTTTTACTTAATGCCCCCCAATTGTATGTGAGGCTACTCCCACCCTCCAGATTGTTCTACTGCTCCTTAGGGGGCTGTATCACCCACTTTGAGAACCTCTGAGCTGAAGTCACCTATCATCATTGGCATTTTAGTCATCCTACAGGTACCTCAAACTCAAAATGTCCAAAGCAGAACTCATTATCTCTCTTTCCAAATTATCTTCTCTTCATCAATACCTCAAAATATTACTCTCAAGGTTGCCACCATCTCCTCTGTCCATTCCAGGGCAACAATATTGGTGTCTTCCCTAACTCCTTACATTCACACTTCCAATATACCAAAGCCATTGCCAGATTTTTGTCGTTTACTTTTAAAGCATCTCTAGTGTACATCTTCATCCCTTTACTCGCATAGCTGCCATTCTGGTATAGATAGATCCTCATTATCTCTTGTTAGACAGAAGTTTAGCTCCCAACAGATGCACTGGATCTGGATAAACTGAAAGGGGCAGTGGAGACCTGATAAAGGGTTAATGTTACTTTATTCTTGAGGTGGCAGGTCAGGACAAGGAAGGCAAGCATCCATCTTTTCTCTTTATGCTTGGTGGTGGCTAGCTGAGGCAAGGAACAGGAGTATGCCCTTCATCATCCTCATTTACTGACCAGTGTTTGTTTGAGTTACAGAGAAACAGACAAAGAAGGCAGCATGCCAACAATAAACTCAAAAGTTTACATCATCTGTGGTTATATAATGATGTGTCAGCATTGTGCAAGTGTAGTGTTAATGTTTACATGCCATGTATCCTGGCTGCTTGTATCAAATTGGATGCATACCATCTTACACACATCTCTCACCTGGGTCTCTTCCCCCCCCCATCTCCCCATATTTATCTGTTTTGTTGTATGCTGAAGTAATAACTATGTTGGGCTACTGGCTCTTCAGGTTTCTTGGGCTTCATTTTCCTTATCTCCAAAATAGGGGTTGATGAGTGGGGGAGGAATTATATTTGCTCTTCCTGTATCGTCGGTCTTCAGTATGTTGTGAGGGTCCAGTGATATATGTGATAATGCTTGATAGACTGGAAAGTTCTATTTAGATGTAACACATTTTTCTTAAAATGGTTATGGTGTAACTTCCCCATTCTTAGTGGAGTTGGAAGCCAGGTCTTGATTATGTAGTTTTCATGACACAATGAGTATGCTAGGAGAAATTTCTTGAAATAAAGATTGGTTGATGTGACAAATGAGTATTCCAGTAATATGATAGCGATGCTTTTTACATTGTATAGAAATAAAATGTGGTTGTTTCTGACCTTTTCCAAAAATTAACCTACCCAAGACATTTCTTAGCACTTTATATTCTTCTATTTACATTGTAAATAAGCAGGTAGATTGTTTACATAAAATAAACATTTTTAGGGGTATGGTTGCTATGCAACGATTTATCGATACAGATCCTTTCAATAGCCATTGAAATGTGATTGTTTAATTATTTCTCCTTTACAGAAAAGGAAATATTTTTCAACACTCTTTTCTTTTGATTATATTACTGTTCAAGGTTTGTTTGTTTGGTTTTTTTTTGTTGCAAAGTCAAGTTATGAGAAGCAAATGTGGGAAAGTCATACAGCTTAAAAAGACACACAGTTGGGGCAGCTAGGTGGCGCAGTGAATAGAGCACCAGCCCTGGATTCAGGAGCACCTGAGTTCAAATCTGGCCTCAGACACGTAACACTTATTAGCTGTGTGACCCTGGGCAAGTCACTTAACCCCATTGCCTAGCCAAAAAAGAAAAAAAAAAGACACACAGTTGTCTGGGAGCATAGTCTCATTTTAGTTGAGGTAGCCATTAAAATTTTTTTTTCCTAGTTAATAAAATTCTGCCTGCCCCAGTGAAAAAAAACACCAGTAACAAATTTGTATAGTCAAGCAAAATACATTTCCGTACTTTCTGTGTCCAGAAAATTGTCTTAATCTGCATCAAGTTCCACACCTCTATTAGGAGATGGTTTAAGATATTTCATCTTGAGTCCTCTGGAATTATGATTGGTTATTGTGTTAATCAAAGTTCTTAAGTCTTTCTGTTTGTCTTTATAATGTTCTTATATAAACTTTTTTTTGTTTGGCTCACTTAATATACATCAGTTTATGCAAATCTTCCCAGATTTCTCTGAAACTGTCTCCATTATCTTTTCTATCATCTTTTCTTACAGCATAATAGTATTCCATTACATTTATTGGGGTAGCCACTTTGACTAATTTTTGACAAGCTGTTGCTTAGAGACAGTAGCCTTCTGTGCTTGAATAAATAAATTAACCTGAGCAGCAGGGATTGGAGATACATAGTGGAAAGTTAGAGGTTAAAAGTTACCAGGGTTGAGTCATGTATAATCACTTTTTCCCTAAAGGTGGAGTAGAAGAATTATACTTATTTTTTGTGAAATAGAGGATGTTGCAAATTTCACTTGGGCTTATGCATTTTTTTCTCTTATTTAGGAGATGCATCGGAGATTTGAGAATGCTCCTGATTCTGCTAAAACAAAAGCTCTGCAAACTGTTATTGAAATGAAGGTGAGAACTTCAAAAAGTTCAGGTTTTCAGTTCATAGAGACCACTTGCTGTATGTTTTAGAAATGATAAACGTAAAATCTTGGAGCAGGTAGGTGTCGCAGTGGATAGAGCACTGGCCCTGGAGTCAGGAGCACCTGAGTTCAAATCCTGCCTCAGACACTTGACACTAACTAGCTGTGTGACCCTGTGCAAGTCACTGAACCCCAATTGCCTCACCAAAACAAACGAACAGACAAACAAAAAGTAAAATCTTACAAACTTGCAATAATTGCAGGGGAAGTTATTAGTACTTGTTAAAAAGGTTGACTTAAAGAATATTTTAAGATAGATACAATTTTGTTACTTTCAGATATAGGTGGTAACTCAGTTAAAAATGTTACACAAGCATTTACCTATTTTAATAATAACCAATACTTATATAGCATTTCAGAGTTTACAAAGCACTTTTTGTGTACTATCTCATTTGATTTAAATGAATGGATTAGAATATTCATGTGTTTGTCTTGTATCCTAAGCTAATTCATAGGATCCTATTTGTATATTGCCTGGTAGAAAGAATGATGAAATCATCTATTCCAGCCCTCTAATTTTAGAGAAGAGAAACCTGAGGTGTGGAGAATTTAAGTGATTTGCCCCTCACCAAGAGATCCAGAATTTGAACATCGCTCACCATCTGACTCCAAATCCAGTGTTCATTTTGTGGCATCACGCCAATTGCATGTGACCTTCAAATTCTGGAAAAGGGCAGAGCCAAAGCTTGGAGCACTATCCACAGTGTATCCTCTTAATACATATTGTTTGATTTGATTTGATTGGACAAAAATGTTTCCTAATTGGTATATTAGTTTTTTCTTAAAATTTGAATACTGCTATATTTTAGTCTTTTATCTTAAAATGTCTTTTTTTTTAAAAATAATTGGTTAATAGTGCTATCCTTGGGGAATAGAGCTCCTAATCAATGATATACTTTAGCCTAGTCACCATACAGAAATATCTCAGATGCCTAATTAATGGAGCCTGGAATTAGAAGGTTTACTGGGGAGTCAAATGGGAGTAGGATTGAATATGTTTCTTTTTTTAAAAAATCTTCAAAAAATGGTTTTGTTGGCCTCAGCTTTAACTTTTTCCCCATCCCCCACAGGTTGATGGTACTAAATGATTGGTTATTAGAGCACAACCCTTTCACTGTATAGATATTGAACTTCAGGTTCTTTTGGTAGGGGTGGGGCTCAGTGGAGCCAGGGTCTCTCAGGACAGAGTTCCAGAAAATGAACTTTTTTTGGTGTAAAATAAAGCATGTGTGTGTGTTTGAAGGCTCAGAACTATGATTTGGAAATACCCTATAGGATTTATTAACAGGTGATGATATCATGGAACCTCTTCTGTGGGTCTTCTGCTCACGTGTGCTCTCTGCTCCTGCAGTGTGCATACTGTCCAGAGTATGATCAACTTTGTACCCTTTGCTTTCTTCGGGCAAGCCAAGAGAAAAGCAGAGTCTGACCCCTAGAACCTCCAAGCTACTGCTGCGTCCCCTTGGAGCAAATTAAGAACCTATGGAGGGGCTAAGCAGCCAGACATTGCTTGAGTCAGTAGCCCAGTAGAGAGCCAAGGCAAGGAAGAAAATAAAAGCTCCCTCATTCTTTCTCTGGGGACAAGTTAAGAGCCTGAGGAGGGGCCTAGCTTCTATGCTTCAGCCCATTGGCCTTTGGCATGCTGAGGAAAGGCCTAATTCAAGGAAATTTCGAATACGGCCTCACAAACATACATCAGTCACTCAGATGTCTCTTACAAAGTCACTGCCAGGTTTTTCTGCTTTCCCAGTATAAGCCCGGAGACCAGGAAAACTCGCCAGCTCCCATCGCCTCCCCAGAGGCAAAGCGAAAGAGATAAAGTAATTGAAAACTTTCTGTTCCCACTACTTTCCTCCTCCTCTTTTGTTTACTCATTCTTCCATCTTTGCTTCCTGAATTGGGACTTTGTGTTAGAACCATCATTTTTGCCTTTGGGAGTTCTCTTTAGGGTCTCACCTTTCCCCTGACTCCTTCCCTTTCAGTCACCCAGTTCCAGATCCTTATTGTTAATGTTCTTCTGCAGTTCCTCTTCTTTCTGAGAGCATCGGTGCAACATGCACCCATTCCCTTCATTCCTTTGCCTCCCCTTTTTCCATTTATATACCCACCTGCTCTGCAGTTCTGTTCAAAATACCTTGATTTGCCTGTAGCTCTGTTGTAGTGTTAGATTTAGTCTTTGGTTCTTCAGTTTTGCCCTTTCACATTGACTTTCTTTCTTTAAATTCTGCTTACATTTTAATCTATTAATGATCCCTGTTTCCTTTTTTTTTTAGCTCTGTAATTTCACTTTGCCTTTCTTTAAAAAAAAAGCCTTTAAATATTGGTCAATTTTTAAATTATATGTGATCTCATTAGTAATTTCCATTTTCCCCAGCTGTTTGCAAAATTTATTATTTGTTAAGCTATTGCGGCCTTAAACTTTTCATGTTTTGGAGTTTGGAATATGCAAATTTTTTTTCTGGTTCTGTTTTTGTTTTTAGAGTCAATTGGTGCTGCTTTCTTCTCTGTATTCAGGTCATCATGGTGTTGTGTTGTTTACTTTTTTAATTTGTCTTGTTTTCTGGTATCTGATGCTTAAGCTTTCTTTGCATGTCGTTTTTGAAGTCAGTAGCTTTGGCTTGTATATGCTCCTTTAACATTGTTGCCTTTTGCTTCCCTTATGCCTGATTAGAATATTTTAATGTTAGAAATATATTAATCTTTCTTTGGAGAAACTCCACTGTGGATTCTGATTTTTTTTCCTGATGTGCAAATTGGGTTTTTTATCTCTGCATTGAGATCTATAAAGTCTTAACATATTCCTAATATCTTCTCTTTTGACTTTCATTTTTCTTTTAAACTATTCGGGAATATCTTGTTCCATGCTCTGCTAAGATTTCTTAAGGATCCCTTGTTTCTTTAGACCTTGTTTCACTTTCCTTTGTCGCTTGTTAAGGGAGTGATGTAATCTCCTTGGGGGTTTACTACACATTTTTCTAGTTTTAGGATCCTCTCTGTTGATTTGTTTTCTCATGCTCCAGATTTTTATTGACTTTTCTTCCTCTCCAAATCTTTTGTTTCAGCGGATTGTTTGTTTTTTTTTTTAATTGTCCCATGTCAATCACTTTCTGACACTTTTCCCTTTGCTAGTGGTTGTACTTTCAGGAGTAGGCTGCAGAACTGCCTCAGCCTTTGTACTTTTAGGGATTCAGTATTTTTATGCCTTTGTCCCTGTCCTAAGTAGCACAATACTATTCAACCACTAGAAACATATAAGACCCCTCTCCTGGGTTTTAATCCCATTTCCCTCAGGCCAGTTTAGTTATTCACTCTGGCCCTTTTGCACTTCTTCTCTTGGCTGTCCTCCATGCCTTCTTTGAAATGGCTGCTGCCTTAAAAAAAAACATTTAAATTTTACAATTAATTAAAATATTTTATTTCTCTCCCACCCCCCTTTTGGAAAAAGGAAAAACAAAACTCTTTTAACAAGATGCATCATCAAGTATAATAAATTCCCACAGTAGCCAATAATGTCTTATTTTGCACCCTGAATTCATCCCCTTTCTGTCAAGAAGGGAGGTAGCATGCTTCACCACTGGTCCTTTGGGATCATGGTTGGTCATTGTATCCATCAGAATTCTTAAGTCTTTCTAAATTGTCTTAGTAGTGTTGGGTATACATAGTTTTTCTGGTTCTACTTGCATTAGTTGTGACTGTTTTCTTCAGTATTTTACACTGGGTACTCTCCAATCTGTGGGGGTCCTTAACTTAAGGGCTGTCCTAGGCAGAGCAGTATGATTCCTTCTCCCCACCCTTTCATCCCTTATGAGACTGTGCAGAATCTGTGTCTGTTGCTTGTTTTGGGCTGGGGGATGGGCATATTGTGGGATATGCTAGAAATACCTCTGTAGCAGGATGGCATCTGAATATGGCCTGGTGTACAAGCAGCCAGTCAGTTTGTATATTCCTGCCTTGTGCATTGGAGGGTGATTCAGGAATGGAGTGGGGTGGAGATGCCGCTTTAAGGATTAACACTCTTTAGTGTTAATACATAAGGATTTTACTTTTCCTCTTCTCTCTTTTCAATTCTGTGGATTCAGCTGTAATTGCTTTCAAATGGAGCATAATTATTTTTGAAGGCTATGTGGGTTGAGAATTAGTGGCAACTGAGAACAATTGTGATTGAGAAGAGTTGTCTCTTTCACTATCATGTTGGTCCTTACCGTTGGGCACTAATCACGCCAGCACCACAGTAGGATCCATATTTGACATTCATTTATTCTAAAATAATTTGTCTACCAAGATTCAGACTTTGAGTGATAATGATTTATATACTGAGAAATTAATAGTGACTTAAAAGGACTTTTCTGAGGAGTGTTAATGGGGAGAGTTTTATTTAGTTTGCCACAAGAAGCAGCTTGCTGTTTATGAACCAGAAGATGGCTCTTCACCAAATAGTTTTAGATAATAGAGGTCAGAATCATAGTGTGAGCAGTACATCATAATGGCACCCTGGTTACCGCATAGTATTTTTCAGCAAAGATTGAAATTTAGTTTTGATTGGAATGGTCTTGGGAGTTTACTGTTATGATTCTTTAAAAAAGTAGGTAACGCACTGATTCACAATCTTTTTTACATCATAATGTATTTCAGTCTTGAGCCTTAACACCGAAACATATATATTGCCCTTTAAGGAATGCAAGGTGCTTTATAAATATTCTCGTTTTATCCTCACAACAACAATGGGAGGAAGTTACTGTTACCCATTGGACAGATGAAGAAACTGAGGTAGCTAGCAGTTAAATGATTTGCCCAGTGCCACTCAGCTAGTAAGTGTCTGAGACTAGATTTGAACTCAGGTCTTTATAACTAGGTTCCAGTTTTCTATGTCATGCATATATATGTGATTACTTAGTGAGTGCTTAGTGAGTGACTGAGTAAGAGGCAAGGGAAAGGTTTTCTTGTAAATGAAAGTTAAGATACATTATGAAAAATGTAATTCAATCAGCTACCCTTTTGGAGGAGTACAGATTCAATTCGATTAAAATGACATTTATTAAATAGCTATTGTTTGTTAAGTGAAAGGGAGCATGGTGTTGTGGATAGAAAGCTGGTCTCTGAACCGGAAAGACCTGGGCTCAAGATCTACCTTTGGTCATCTCACACAACCTCTCAGTTGCCCTAGGCAGCTCTTTAAAAATTGTAAGTCCCGGAGAAGGCAGCACTTTCTTTGATGGAAGGAGATTCCTCACCTGGAAATTGCCAATACCAGTGGAATTGTACATCCGGTCCCTGTCCCCTATCCCTATGCTTTAGGCAGTCATTATCCCTATTCTAATTATCCCATCTCCTCTTCAGTCCCACTCCAACCTTGTTTACTGCCTTAGACTCTTCATTCTACTATTCTCTTTGTAACCTAGTTGTGTTTGCAACAAAATCCCTTATGTCCTCAGATTTTCTAAGCCACATTTCTTTTCTATCTGAAATTATGATATATGAGTATGATAAATTTGCATAGTAACAAGTGATGAATATAGGACATTTTAGTGAAGTGGACATTTATGAACTGATGCAGAGGTAAGAAAGCAGAATGAGAAAATGAAAACATTCCATTGATCGTCCTTTAAAAAAACCATCAACCTAGTACCATAGTTTTGAACTTTATTATTTTTTACAAAGTGTGCCAATCCCTACTTATTTGTATTTTTTTGAACCTTATCCCTTTATACTCTTGACCTTTCATTTTCCCCAAATGAATTTTGTTTTATTGCAAAGTATCCCTTTGATGATATTGTTGGCTCCATCTACTAAAGTGCTTTTCTTAAAGTGACCAAGTCATTTTCATAAGTCACCATGTCGTTCACTTAGTCAGTATTCCAGTGACTCTCTTTTACCTCTAGGACCAAATTTAAACTTTTCTGTTTGGCGTATACAGTAGCTCTTTATGACTTGGTACTAACCTTTATTACCTTATTTGACATTATTTTCCTTTATACACTTAGTCCTGGAAGGCAAAAATTACCTTCTTGCTGTTCCTTGTATTTGACACTCCATCTCTGCTTTCCATGTCTTTTCACAGACTTTCCTCCTTGCCTCTTAAAATCCATAGTTTTCTTCCATATGACACTTCTCTAGATGATGACCTTCCAAATCCCAACTACCCAACCCTCTTTGGTTCTAAATGTCTTTGTATTTAGTTTGTGCAGATCCATATATGGACTCATGCATCTCCTTTGGATGTAGGACGGAATGTAGGTTCTTTGAATACAGGAAGTTTCAATTTGTTTTTTTTTTATCTCCAGTGTTTGAGTTTAGTTTCAGTGACTGTGTCTTTTTTTGAGACAGTGTGGTGCAGTGGAAAGAACTCTAGAATTATTCACAAGAGACATAGGTTTAAATCCTGTCTTGTGACACTAATTGCATGAATATGGTCAAATTACTTAAACTCTCTGACCTTTGGTAGTTTCCTCTGTAAAATGAAGACAGTAGTACCTATAGTACTTAACTCACAAGGTTATTGTAAGGCCCAAATAGCATATGTTAGAGCACTTTATGAACCTTAAATTGCTATATAAATTTCGGTTCTGGCTGCCCTCATCATCGTCCACTGCTTGTTTCCCTCTGAGCACCTGGCATGGAAATCTGCACAGAATAGGTGTGTTAATATGTCTTTGTTGTATTCAAACATGATTGAATGAATTCTACTTGTTAACTTACTTAGGGGATTCCTAATTTGATGACCACATGACTGTTCTCCTCCTGTCAGGACTCAAAAATTTCCTCCATGGAGCGTGGGCTCCGAGATTTGGAGGAGGAAATCCAGATGCTGAAATCTAATGGAGCTTTGAGCACAGAAGAACGGGAGGAAGAAATGAAACAAATGGAGGTGTATCGCAGCCATTCCAAATTCATGAAAAACAAGGTAATGGGATGTCAGCTTTCACTCCTCCAAAACAGTTTAATGTATTGGGGGGAACATAAGATGTCTTCCCTACTGATTAAAGGTAGCAGTTTTGTACCTTATTTTTATGTTGCTTAAGAAAAGCACAAATATTATAATTTCAGACTTCGAAGCTGAGTATTAAGGACTGAATTGCTGAATGGATACAAATTATTAGTGTGATTTCAAATAAAGTTAGTCTCATGTGGCTTAGTGTACATTTAAAAAATTCAGCATTTTTCATTTTTCAGTAGTTTGGGCTGGCTTAGGAACCTGTCTAGCTATGCTTTCCTCAGTATGCAAGACAATATAATGAATGTTTTACTTCTCTTGTGAATTATTATAATGCTCAATAGACTGAAGCAATTTTTCTAAACTAGGTTAAGTAAAATGAATTGACTTGTGCTTTTTTATATGTTTTTATTAAGGAAAACTACGTACCTCTTGAGAAAGGTAAATGGGGAATTTATCCCCCTTTTTCCCTCATCTCCATTCTGCCCAGTTATTGGAGCATTATATAGCAAAATAGGTAGTAACAGGGTATACCAGTTTTCAGTCAATTCAGGCATGGTTATAGTTGCCTTTATTCTTGCTTAGGGCCCCCAAACATTCAGTTTTGATTGATCTAAATACCAGGAAGACCAATTAGAATAACTAGCTAGTTGGAATTTCAATTATTTGAGAATGAATTAATGACACAAAGCAATTGGAAAGCAGAATTTTTCTTTCTAGTGGCTGATTATTCCATTATAACAGCTTCCCATTTCTAATTTTTCATAATTCTAGGGAGGCTCCTCACTAATATAAAATAATTTCTCTATTGCTATATGTAAGTATAAAAAAGTTCATTAGAGCCAAGGACTCTTTCTGGTGAGTGTCATAGTTCAGTTGTTTTCCCAAATCTTGTTTTTAGCTAATATCCTGTTCCTCATTCCAACCCCTGTCCCCCAGCTACCTGTATTTAAATTTTTTTTCCTTAATAAACTTTTTCCCTTGTGACATTTATATTGTCTTGGCTCTTTCTTGTTGCCCCTAGCTTATCTATGTCACTCATAACTAGCTTATAAATATATAATTATAATTTATATTACATTATACATCAAATAAGATAATATTTGTACAAGGGCTTAGCATAGTACCTGGCACACAGTAGGTAGTTAATAACTGCTTATTCCCTACCCTCCCTCATTTTATATTGCTTATAAATTTGCCTTCAGCCACTTCCATTTGAATTTTTGAATTTAAATGTCATAATTTCTAGTTTTTTAATAGTTTTGTTTTTATGCTTTTGTTTGGAAGGAAAGCTAGCTGCAGTTATTTATGTATTGGTGAATAATCACTGTAATTGCACATCATTTTTTGGTAAATCCTTTCCTACCTATGCTAAGATCCCTTAAAATACTAGCGAGTAAAATAGCCTTGAGTGTTTTTATTTTTTCTTTATAACTTTTTCTTAATTTCAATTCCTGCCCTGGCCTTGAAGCAGATAATTAGAAGACGTAAACTGACACAGAAGTGAAAAAAGAATAACAATGTCGTGACAGGTAGAGCAACTGAAGGAAGAGCTAAGTGCGAAAGAGACTCAAGGGGAAGAGCTGAAAAAGAGAGCGGCTGGTCTCCAGGCCGAGGTCTTTGCCGTAAGATTCATCTCTGTGTGTGCAGTGACCCCTTCCTCAGTGGGACTCTGCTGGCTCTTGGCTTTCTGGGTGGCTCATGCTTCATTTCTCTTGTGGTCAGCAGCTGTGCCAAATATTAGCACTAACCAGCCTCCTTTGCTATTTAACCAGTGTCTGTTTAAACCAGCTGAAAACATGCTCAGGGACCCTGTTCCGGGCAATTTGATGTTTTTTGTGAGATCTTGTTGAGGGTGTTGTTAATCTCTTTTCTTCTGACATTTTCTTGTACGTAAAATAGTGTTGAACAATAGGGACTTCCCTTGTCTTGGACACAAAAGCATGGATATCTCATGCTTTCGAAAGTTTCAGTCCCTATCACATGGTAAAGATGATAGATATTTGAAATTATCAAGCAAAATATCTTCCTTGCTTTGTGGTCATTAGTTAATAAAACTCCTGTAAGATTTTACTTGGCAGATATTATTTTCCCTAGAGCAAGAGATAAAAAGATCAGTCAGCTTGCCTTGAATTACATAGTAAATAAAGGAAAACTTGGGGGATGTCCATTGCCCTTTTGAAACAGACCAGGATTCTGTCCACAAAAACTATTATTTGACATTGTCTACTTAAGTTAAAATGTTAGGGAGAAAAGGCATAAGACAGGTAGGATATGGCCATTTTTTTTATTAGCAGATTAGCAAAAAAAATTAGCAAAAAAAAGTATTGCAGGGCAGAGAAGTCTTAATTTTCAGACTTAACCTGATGTATAAGAAAACCATATGTTGTCTTGAGGAGAACGTTGAAAAAAATTTTTTTGTTTGTTGTGTTTTTTCTTTTTGCTTTCTTTTTTCTCTTATTTTAAAAAGGACCATTAATCATATTTAAAACTTATGTAATCATCAGATGATACAGAAAGTTGATTATGGTTTTTTGAATCTGCTTCTGTCACTGTATCTCTGTTTCTTTCTTTCTCTCTTTCAATAGGAAGATGTAATTAATGGAAAAAACTAGAGCAGGGGTGGGGAACCTTTGGCTTCGAGGCCTCTTGTGGCCCTCTAGGTTCTCAGGTGCCGCCCTTTGACTGAATCCAAACATCATAGAACAAATCCCCAAAATAAAAGGATTTGTTCTGTAAAACTTGGCCCAAGGGCTGCACCCAAGGAGCTAGAGGGCCACATGTGGGTTCGAGGTTGCAGGTTCCCCACCCCTAGAACATGATGTGGTTCCTGGGTTAAAACTAGAACTATTATGTTAAAACATGAAAACTATTCTCATTTGTCTTTCCTTGATACTGTATTGTTACCAGTTACCAGCTATTATTACCAGTTCATTATGGAAATAAAATGCACTTAAAAACTTTCTACTGAAGAGAGGTAGTTGCATTAAAACATTCTTGGAATTTTTTTAATGTTTATTTCACTTATTAAAGCAAAGTGCACTTAAAAATATTAGTTGTAAATTTTTTTGGTCTTTTTTTTTCATGCAAAGGAGAGAGTAGTAAGCATTATATTGAATTTCAAAAGCACACATGAGGGTCAGCTAGGTGGTGCAGTGGATAGAGCTCCAGCCCTAGAGTCAGGAGGACCTGAGTTCAAAACCGACCTCAGATACTTGATACTTACTAGCTGTGTGGCCCTGGGCAGGTCACTTAACCCTGATTGCCTTACCAAAAAAGAAAAAAGAAAGCACATGTGATTTCTGTCTGGAGAGACAAGGTAATTGCTTAATTTAATAATAGAAATTCAGAGGAAGAATAAGGTGCACACTCTTTTGACTTGGTGTAATTTTACTCTACAAGAGATATAAATCTCAAATTGTAAATATGAATTATTGAGGAACCATGCTTTTATACTCTGTTATAACTTTTCTTCTCCTTTTCTTTACAAGAGGTCTGCCTAACTAAAAAAAAATGTAGGTGGTATTTAAATATCTTTTTATACTTTCAGTTTAAGTACCTAAGTCTGCCCCATTTAAAAGTGACTTATAAAAGTAAAACAAAATTAAATGTATTTTTAAAAATAATTTAAAATACACCTTGGGAGTGAAAGAGCTGCTTGGTTTTCCTTTTTGCTGCATCTTTTATAAGCCTTTGTTTCACTTTTTGGGGAATGGATCACCCTGATTTGTGAAAGAGAAAGAGGTGTGATGTCTGTTGATAATTCTCATATCTTATAATTAGTTGTGATTTCTTTTTTATTCCTTTTGTACTCCTGTTCCTGTCAACTAGATAGAGATAAGAAAACTCAGACTTGATTGGTTAGTTTTTTTCTATTCTTTTAATGGATTTCAAAAGAAGAAGTGCAGGTGCTATTATGGAAGGAGCATTGGCTTGGACATAGAAGATCTGAGTTTGAATCTCTGTTTTACAGCTTATTAGTTGTTTGACTCTGGACAGATTACTTAATCTCTATGATCTTCAATTTCCTTGTATGCAAAATGGGGGTGAAAATGTTCATCCTACCTATCTTACAGGGTTTTTTGTGAAGAAAGTGATTTGTAAAGTATAAAATTTACATAAATATAAGTTATTTTTGTTTACAGAATAATTTTGCAGAACATATTTTTATTCTCATTTATATTGCAGATTATTAAGAAAAATTATGTTTAAATTTCTAACTTGCAGTTTGTAAAATATTCAGATTAGAAATGGTGATCTTTTTCAATGAATTTCACTTTTTCACTTTCTTTTTCACTGAATTTCATTTTCTTTTCCAGATTGGTCAGGTGAAACAGGAACTGTCCCGAAAGGACACAGAACTTTTAGCCCTACAGACAAAGCTAGAAACGCTTACAAATCAGTTCTCAGACAGTAAGCAACACATCGAAGTGCTAAAGGAATCATTGACTGCTAAGGAGCAGAGAGCTGCCATCTTACAGACAGAGGTAAATACTGTTGTTGATGTTTTTGTTTTGTTTCATTTGCTTGTTGTAACTTTTTTTTTAATCTTTTTTTGACCCAGGGCAAGTTGCTTAATTTCTTGGGGACCTCAGGTTCTCCATCTGTATGATGAAAATACTGAACTAGGTGACCTCTGAAGTCCTTTCCTGCCTTAAATATATGATCTTATAATCCTCTGTCATGGACCAGCCAGGCTATTTTTCAAGAGAGCCCATTCCCATTTGGGGCCAGTGAGATTTTGAATTTTTTGGTCATGGTAACACATCAAGCAAAACAAATTATGAAATGGCCCTCAATACTGAGTTTTGCCCCATCCCCTTCTGCATTGATAGTTGCCAGAGTAACAACAAAAGGAGAGTAGAGTGCTAAGAGTAATAGTTTCTAGAATATTTGTAAACCTCAGTGTATCTGTTAGAATACTAAGTATAAAATGCTTTTACAATGACATAATAAGTTGATTTATTCATTGCTGGAGAAACTAAGCCATATCAGTGTTGGTCCTCATGGTATAAAAGGAATGAGAAGATGTAAGGAAGTTCCAAGTAAATGGAAGGATTGATTATAGGTTCTCTTTGTTGTTTTTTCCAAAATACTGTTTTTGTGAATATTTTTTGTTTTTATATCATCATTTCTAAATTTATGCCTACCTTCTTCCCTGACCAGCAACCTGACCTTTGTAACAGATTTAAAAAAAAAAAAGAGGAAAAAAGGCAGTTTAGCCAAATCAGCCAACCAGTACATCAAACATGTTTGACAAGTATATGTGATATATAGATATGACTGTAGTCCTTCCCATCTCTAAAAAGGGAGTGGGAATATTTCAGACTCTTCTCTGTGGCCAAGGTTGGTTATCACACTTGCACAGTTTTTGGCTTAATTTCTTTTTTCTTTTTGTTTATGTTGTTGTAGTTGGTTGTGCCTATTTTTTTTTTATTGGTACCACTTTACTCTTTATCAGTTTATATGTCTTTCTCTGCTCATCTGAATTCTTTCTATTCATTGTTTCTTATGGTACAGTAGTATTCTATTATATTCATGTGCAATAATTTGTTTATCCCTTCCCTAATCTGGTGACCATGTGGTAATCTACTTTGTTTCCTGAATTTTGTTACCACAAAAGTGCTACTTCAAGTATTTGGTTGTATATGGAACTTTTTCTGTCTCTCAGCTTCTTGGACTCTGTGCTTAGAGGTAGGATTTCTGAATCGAAAGATACACGTAATTCCACAGTCCGTTCCAGAATAATTGGATTGATCCGGAGCTCTACCACTTCTGTTTGGAGAAGCAAATAAAGAAGTTGGCAGATTCAGTTTCATTATGTTCCCAAATGCTATTGCAGCACATCATTTCATGGGACTCTTGACCTTGTTGCCTTGCAGTGTAGTCCCAGGATGTGTAAGCCAAAAACTCACTGTGAGGACACCTAGATTGTATTTGCCAAAGCCTCTTACGAGGTTGAACGTGTAAAGGAATTCAGTGAAGGACTAAAGGGATCCTAAGCTAAGTTAGGAGGCAGCTAGGCGGCATAGTGGATAGAGTCAGAAATAACTGAGTACAAATCTGGCCTCAGACACTTACTAGCTGTGTGACTCTGGGCAGGTCATTTAACTTCTGTTTGCCTTAAACCACTGGAGAAGGAAATGGGAAACCACTTCAGTGTCTTTGCCAAGAAAACCCCACGGACACACCATGGTCCATGGAGTCATGAAGAGTCAGACATGACTGAATCAGTTGAACAACAACAACAACAAACTGTGTTAAACATTATATAAGTGCAAGTTATTTAGATTGTAAAGTAAGTTATATAGACTGATACTCTGAGACTTAAATTTGAACGTGAGTCTAAAGGGAATGAAAGACTACTTGTCGGAAGTGACTTGGGGTTTAAAAATGTATCTTTTGAGTAAGGATTGGACTAGGTCAGGGCTTCTTAAACTTTTTCCACTCGTGACCCCATGTCTCAACCCATAGTTTAAGAAGCACTGGTCTAGATGACATATGGTTCCATCTAATTCTTGAATTCTATGATCTTATGATGTAAAAGAGTCACTATAGTGAGGAGACAGGAGAGACAAAAAGCAGCCTTAGCTTGCAAATACTCTTGATCTCTTTGCCAAGCAGAGACGTGGCAGCCAAGAGTAATTCTCATTTAGAATATAAGCTCATTTGGAAAACAACAGGAGTATGGCAGAAGATTGAGAAGTAGCTGTGTCTCACAGAACACTGAAGAAAAGCAGGCCTTTAGAAACCTTGGCATGAGACTTAGTTATCAGATTATCCTAAGGGCATATAAGGATGAAGCCTTAAGGTTTCATCAGATGAGATAATATAATATAGTGCTTTGCAAACCTTAAAGTCCTATATAAATGTTAGCTGTTGCTATCATCATCATCCCCATGAAACAGACCAAAAAGAATGCAGTGAATTTGCTAGTATTTCTTTGATGAATCTTTTTTTTAATCATTTGTTGTTGTGGAATCTTTGGCACATATGAAAGTAAAGTCAGAAAAATCAGCCGTTTGAGATTATACACAGAGAAAATCTGTGATGGACATGGAATTTTGTTACTAAGAAATCTCATTTTGTGATAGCTGAAAGTAAGGAAGAACACAGATGTTTACAAAAAATCGCGAACCAGTAATATTACCCAGATATATCTGAAAGTAAGAACGTAGATGTTTACAAAAAATGATGAACAGTAACATTACCCAGAAAGGTCTCCTTTTTAAGAGTGGGTTGACAAACCACAGGCCTTCAGGCCTGTTGTATAGCTAATGAGCTAAGAATAATTTTTACGTTGTAAAATGAAGTATAGTGTATTTAAAAATGTAGAAAATGATTCTTAACTCTCAAGTCATTGTTTGTCAACTCCTGCTCAATAAGATCTTCATGACAGTGATCCATACTTCTTTCAGAGGCATCTTTGATCAGAATGTGAGGTGAAAACTCTCACATAATATTTCAAACCTTGAAGTCATTTTTTTCATCAGCGTCTGCATGATCATGTGGTTGCTTGAAGGATGTTGATAATAGAGGATCTCATGATGTTATTTATTATAAAAAAACAGTTTGACTTGGGAGAGCAGAATGTAGCCTTGCAGGCTTTCTTCCAGCAAGGTGTCTTTCATTCACATGTTTAGATGATGTAGGATTCTTTGATAATTTCAGCTCTGGTGCTAACTTTGTTCAGTGTTCCTTAGACTATGAAGTTGTATGTTGCTTAAGATATTTGCCTCTATCACAGAGGACGTTTTGTGCAGAGCCAAAAGAGGAAGTGCTCCTGATTTTCCTGATGGGCCTCTGAGACCATTTAATGATTACTTTGCTAGTTTCAGTAGTCTCATGTCAGAATCACTCAACAGACAAGAACTATTTATTAAATGGCTACTGTGTGCCAAGCATTGTGCTAGGTGCTGGGCATACAAGGACAACTGCACTGTTCTCTGCTTTGAAGGAGCTGACATTCTTTCGGGGTAGACAATATATGGATATTTTTAAGTTGATTTAAAATAAATATAGAAATGAAAGGATATTGGGAAGAGGTCACAAATATTTCCCTCCCTCCACTAGCAGTTGAGGATATCAGCTTTGAAGGAAACTGGGGATTCTGTGGGTTGAAGACAAAGAGGGAGTGGATGTTGGCATGAGAGTCAGCCCATCAAAAGTCACAGATATGTGAGAGATTGATTGCCATGTGTGAGAAACTCCAAGAAAGCCACTTTGACCTGACTACCCAGAGGACAGACAGAAATAATGCCTAATATCCCTGGTAGGTCAGACTAGACTTAGGTTGTGAATAGCTTTATATGCCAAATAAAGGAGTTCGTACTTGATCTTAGAGATAGTAGGAAGCCACTGGAATTTATTGAACAGAGGAAAGTCCTGTCAGACCTGAGCTTTACAAAAATTAAGTTGGTAGCTGTGTGGAGTATATATTGGAGAGAGGAGAAATTTGAGATCGGGAGACCGGTTTGGTAAGCTGTAAGTTGTTACTGTTTTTTTCTGAAGCATTTTGGATATTAAGGATTTTCCCAAGCTTTCAGAGTTTTTGGAGAGGGCCAGAATGGAGGGTATTGCCAAGCAGAAGCAATTTCTCATGAGCAGGAGGCCATGAATTTAAAACTATTAGGGCTCAGGTAAGACTCACCAGGCAGTGAACTGAGGCACTTGATACTCAATAAGACTGTTGGGAGCATGATGGAGAACTGGTTCCAAAAGTTTGTACTATCAGAGTCTGTCCTAGCAGAGTGCAGCAAAGTATTTGTTTGCTGTCTTCATTCTCATAAATGTTTATGTATATTTGTATACTCACTGATAGGTATACATTTTTATAAAAGTAGCATAATGTCAACTCTTGTTTGTGTGATGTTTGGGATGGAGGGAAGGAGGAATGAAGCCATGCATCATTATAGAGGTGAGAGTAGGGAGGGGTGAACCTTAGGGACCATTCTTTGGGGAGGGGAGAATTTTAGTTATGTTATATATGCATGTTTTAGTTATGGTATGTGTTGTAAACTTGTTCTCTACAGCTGCCTGCGAGAGGTATTTAAGTCAGCAAAATACTTAGGTACATCTAGGCTTTCTGTACATTATTCCTATCCCCTGGGTAAATACAGTAGAGGACTTGGAGAAAGAAAGCAGGTTACATTGCATTTGGGAAATTATGCAGTGCTTTCAGCAATCTCAAACTGTGTCCTAATGCAATAATCCTTTTTAACACCAGTATTCTTGTGATGCTACATGGATGTGAATACTATTAATAAGAGCTCATATTTACAAAGCACTTTAAATTATAAGTCAGTGTCAGAATAGTAGAAACTACAAATGATGTATAGGGGCAAGGGAGGAAAAAACTTAGTGGGTATAAATTGACGCATTTTTAACAACGAGGAATTACATGTGAGAAATGGCGCAAGTGATGTCACCTAGAAATAAAGGGTCAGAAAAGGAGGTTGGCCTTTTAGTAGTAAGAACTAGGGGCAGC